ACAGTACAGTTGAGATCTTCATTGTAGGAGGGCAATTCTGATATAAAAAATAGTCGGGTTAATTTTGATATATATCTATCTAGTAATACCAAAATTAACGTGAACAGAATTTTATAAATTGAAAGAATTACAAGAATTATATGATCTGAAGGAGTACTAAAACTCTTTTACTGATACCTACGTTTCAGGGGAGGGGAGGGCAAAACACTAGATCTATTATCAGTAACTGTTTTTTTCTTTAGAAAACCAGGACCTGAAGTGCGATCTAGGACTTTATCTTGAAATTGTTCTGTAATGACCTTGATAGAAAGTGTATAGTTATTCAGAATATTGTACTTAAAAATAGATATGAATTTCTTTTATAAATGTGTATCTTTTTGATCACTGATTCTAACCTGTTTGTATTCCTTTCAGAACTTCATTTTTTTATATATATAACACAACTTGGGCTCATTTACTGAGAGTTAAATCTAAACGAAAGCTATAAAGATCCTCTGCACAATATATCCACGCTTTCTAATTTCAAGTCACTTTAGCACCAAGAAAAAAGTCCTTTCTCTCCCTCAGGCAACTTCTTAAAGTCATTAACTAAAAACTATTTTCTGTTTTCACAGTATATTCACTCATCAGGCATAATTCACAGGGTAAGTAGAAATAATTTAAAACATGTTTATATTCTGATGATGTGATCGGTATTTCTGTATAAGCATGCACATACATATGGCCAAACATGTTTTGATTTTGCGTCTGTTTTCTGGTGGTTGTTTAATAAAAGCAGTGTGGCTACATCAGTGTAAACTGGGCCCCCAAGTTGCACTGAAGTCCTTTAGATTTGGATTTCTTAAAACCTCAAGTTCATAAAGGGTTTAAAGCCCCATCAGAGCAAAAAGCATATAAATTAAGATGAATAGATTTCTTGCCTTTTTAGCAAAGGCTAGAGTGAACTTTTAAAAGCAGAGATTAGATGTTGTTTAAACATCCTGTTATTGATTGAACTATTAGGGGAGGAGTGAACATATGGGAATTGAAAAGAAAACCCCAAATTTTAGAGCCTTGAAAACCTATTTTTTCCCCCAAGGGAAATGAAAGTGGATGTTTTGATTCTTTTTGAATCCCTGTTGCCCACATGAAATCACTCCTGCACTGAGGAAGAGAGAACTTTTGACTGGTATCAAATATCGTAAGTTCCCCAAAGACTCCGTTTGCATCAGAACAGTAGAAACCAGCCTTTCGTAATAAAAATCAGGAGCACGCAGAAAGCACATGTCTTAAGTGGCAGGTTTGAGATGGACATGGAGTTATGCCAATTGCCAGGATAATTTGACAAGCGGGTATTTTCACTTCCACTACTCTTGTAATCGTGGTCTAAACTTCTCAGTTGTTCCGACTTTTTCTGAGCTCCCTCGTGCTGACTCTTGAGCTTCTCAGTCTCGTGACGGTTCCTCTGCACCCCTTGGTTTCTCTCTAAGGCCCTTTTGGTCTCAGTCCACGTCCTGTGTGAAACTCTTGGGGGACTAAGTTCTGAGAGAAGATTCCTCTAAACAACTTGGGTGCTGAAGTGTGACAAACAAAGTTTTGCAAAAGCTGAAGGAAAACTTAACTCTGCAACTGTGAATATCTAAGAATCATTAACACTGCAAAACCTTCTCGAGCAGGGCCAGTACTCCCTCCTCCCTTTTTTGCTGAGCTTAGCCGTACAACTTCTGAAGATCAGCACAAGTCTTGCTAGTAGTTATAGAGAGTTAGTTTGTGTTTGTTGTTTTTGTTTTATGTTGCAGCCTTCATTCCATAGACTTATTTTGTTAGGAATTCCATTTCCTGCAGAAAAGAGTATAGGTTTTTATATATGAATTTAAAATCATGTTTAATTTATTCAATACCCATTCCAGGTATGTCAGGGTATGGAGTCTTTCAAGTAGATCTTGATATTCAATGTGTACGGTCCAGAAGTAGTGAAGGAAATAAATTAACTATTCCATTTGGCTATATGTGAATCATTAACTTTTAGGTAGTATTAAATGGTACACATTTATGTTCAAACGACATCCACATTAAGATGACTGAGTTCTTTTGTTAGAAAGTGTTTTTCTGACTTACTAATGCAACTAATGCAACAAAAGTTAATCTGTTTGGGAGGAGAGGACCATAATGAAAAAAAAAAAAGCCATATGTTATTCACATTTATGTCTTTTTTTTCTGTTCTTTCTGATAATTAATCTCCTAAGATTGATGGCATTGCTTTACTTGTTGCTCTTCCAAGCAGTGGAACAAGCAGTATGAAAGCCCTCTAACCTAAGTGAATGAATGCTTTAGTTTTTAAAAAGTGTGTTTTTTTCCGTCGGCTGCAAAATAAATAAGTAAAATAAATTTCAAATCTGATTATATCTACAGGATCTGAAACCCGGAAACCTGGCAGTAAATGAAGACTGTGAATTGAAGGTAAGATCTACTTATTTAAAACAAATAATGAATATATATGCACCACAGTACAAATACAAATGAATGTGCACCACAGAAAACAAGATGGGCTACAGCTGTAGACATTGATAACTGTTTTCATTAATAGTTCAGGATTTCAACTGATGAGTTTTGAGAAGTAATGAATAGTGGAATATGAAAAGAAAAAGGACCAGACAGACAATGGTAACAATCTTCAAACAATGATGGGAGACTGATGCTTATAATTATATTCCCATTAGTTAACTTTAGCTAACACATTTAATTAAATAATAAATATTTATTTAAGAAATAAAGCCCTGAATGCTGGAAATTCAGTATTCTCCTATTTGTATGGGTTTGATGGAAATAAATGCATGTTCCATACAAATGGCAGATGTGATGATAATTTCTAAGATCATTATGGAGTGAAGCGCAAGAAATGGCTCTAATGAGAAATGGAAATGCTGCCCAGGACATCAGCCATAAAGACATCAGGTCCAGACAGGGAGCTCTGGGAAACCAGGATGGGGTGTTAATGGCTGAGGGGCAGTTCAGGTGACTCTCAAGACGTGCAGAGGATGGATTGCTGGTAGGTCTGCGCCACGGGTTGTCTTCCTGACATTGCTGCACTGATTAGTGACTGCAGGGTCTCCGGTTGGTGCCGGGCAGCATAAGGGCTAAAGGGTCATCTTCTGCCTTAGCATTTATGCCCGGGCACAGGGAAGAGCATGTGCCTGACTGCAGTCGTCATCTTTTCATGTGTCATACGTAAATTGCAGTGAATACTGTTATATTGTTATGCAGTCATTTAATTAAAGAGTTTTCAAGAAGAAAATTGTGTTTAAGAGCTGTAATGGAGAAGTGTTTTTATGATATGTTGCAGCTAATCACTTCACAGAGCTGTAGGGGGAGTCAAATGCTGCTCAGCATGAACCAGAACATGGAATTTTCCCAAGTGATTCCTTTTAAAACTTAGAGCTAACCTTAGTATCAATTGCATATTTAAAGATACTGCAGTATCTTTTCTAGCAGTATCAGTTCTACTTGAGTTTTGCTCTTAATTCAGAAAAAAAAATCCTTAGGGGTATCAGTTGCTAATTCAGGCCCCGGTAGTTCAGCTATTAGCTGTTCCTCTTTCTACACTGCAAGGCTGGCACTGACGGGTATTTCTTGCATTACTTGTTTCCTGGTTATCCAGAATGGGGGACGAATCTTGATGACCCTCTCCTGTTCTACCCATCTGAGCTTCCTCTCTAGGATGGGTAGGAGGAGGATGATGCACAGCCAGGTCCTTCCCAACGTGAAAAATAGGTGTTCTCAATAGAGTCCACCTGAATAGTAATTTGTCTCCTGTACATGGGGGTACCATGAGCTGAAGCCTCCACTAGATCATTAAAAAGAAATACTGAATCTGACCTACTTGGTTTTATTATCCAGTTTCTTATCTGTCTTGGAAATCCTCCCATTCAGTCTGTTGGGGCATGTAATATTTGTATTCTGATAATTATGCAGAGAGATAATTGTGCAAAGTGTCCTGACCTAGCCAAATATATCTGCTTATCTATGTTGAATGAGTTGAGCATTAAAAAAGCAAATAATTCATTATTAAGTAGACATATGTAGTACTCATTGCTGCTCATTTTAAGAATATAACATATTCTCGTCGTTCGAGAGAGCTCATGCTGCTTCCAATCCCCAGTTAATTCTGTTCTCATAATTTAATAGATCAATATGAATTTTCTAGAATTATTTTTGCCAACTATTTTCTCACAGCTCTAGCAGTCTGAAAGTCCAGTTGATGTTTTTCTGTTAGTTACCAATTCTGCTATGCCTGAATCCCGACTGGCCTATACATCTTCACAAAACAACAGTAAATGGGAACGAGAGTTCTCCCAACATGTAATTCTTCAGTTTGCATTCAGAACTTAAAACCAAGCTTTCCCCCTTAAGAGATGAATAAGACTTTATGGGAAGTATTTGGTAAATTCCATCTTAGAATAAATAGAAAAAGCTAGGAGATAAAGAAATAGATCAAAGGATGTAAAGCTCTCCCTTAATTAAATAAAATAAGTGGATGGAACACTGCAAAGATGTGTTTTAATGCATAATGTACAAGTTATGCACTTGTACACAGCTGCTGTAATACCATTTTATACTCTTCAGAAACTCGGTAGAACATGTTTGAATGTTCAGGATCCTGTTAAGATTTCCCTATTTAAGAAAAAAAAAAGAATTGTGTCTCTCTGGCTTTTGAAAATATGTTGCCAAACTATGAATAGGTCCCAGTGTGATAGGGGAAAACAGAATCTTGGCAAACAGTTACTCGTGTGCATTTTTCCCACTCCCCGCCACGGAGCTATAGGATTAGATTTTGAGATGCAGCCCAAATCCTGCACATTCTTTCCTGATATGATCACTGTATTCCCTTACTTAACACAACTTATTTTCCTGTTACCTTGGATATTCTTACACTCTTAGATAAATCAAAGCAAGTAATTCTACATCAGAAGATCTTTTTGTGAAATGGCTAGGGAGAAATGCGGCATTGAGCCCTGGTTTTCATGTTTCTCAACAGTCAGAGCATATTCTACAGTCCAGGGTTTTGCAATAATTTCTGGTATCTCTGTGGTCCAGTGTTTTGAAATAACTTCTGATATCATATATGGAAGAAATATCCAAACCTGTAATTAGGATATACTGGATGTTAAAGTGCTGCTGCAGTCTCTGAACAGAAAGCTGTTGAGATGTGTGCTTATGGGGGAGGTATGGAAGTGATGCTCTAAATGTGGCAATGAAGACAAGCTTTAACATTTATATTTTCTCTTCTTGACTCAAGAAAAAAATATATACTTTTTCTTGTTTATTATTGCTAGGGAATGATGAATGTATCCTTTAAAAAAAGGAAGTATTTTTAAATGTTTAATTACAGTGAGAGCATTACAAATCCATCACCATGATACACAGGTGCTTCTTGTGAAAATCTCTGCTCCCAAATACATACATGAAACCTAGTACCCGTGGAAACCAGTGGCTGCCCATACCAAAATGTGTGTTCAAGTATCTGTGGATGATGATGGTTTATTTTGAATAATTTTTCTCACACAAGGCCCTTCTTCTCCTGTTAGTGTCAAGAATTTACTGGTAAACCCACTGTCATACCAGGAATGGACCTCACCCTTGGCCAAATATGTCTTTGGAAGGTCCATACATCTGGGCCGTCATGTTAGCCCATTGTGTAGGAGCTGACAAAAGACTGTAATGTTTCATTTTAATCTTGCTGCTGTAGACTTTAATGTAGCTAAAGATAAAAAGTTTGAGTTTCAGAAATAAGCTGAATTGTACATAATGCTTTAAAAAAAATGTACTAACCATGAGTTTTCTACAGAGGAGTGTTCTGTAATTAAGCAGCAGGTTGGAATTCAGAGGAACAAAATAATGGTAATTCCCTGTTCTTACTGCAGATTTTCAGTGTGACCATGAGAAAGCTTTTCTTTGCATTATTATTCATAAAAGGAAGATAATGGTGTCTCTTGCTTCAGAATATTATTAGAACTGTTCTTAAAAACTGTGCCACCTGGGATATGAGCGCATTGAATACCATACAGAACCATGCAGAGTGGAGGCTGCTCTCCTAGCCCTGACAAGATAGGATGGTCCTTCTGTGATCAGGGGTTTTTTGCTTTGAATGAGACCTGTATCTTCATAACTAAAATTGAAGTATTTATTGTTTTCTTTACTGGTAGTGTTCCAGCTTTTCCTGTTGCTATAGGAGTATCTGATGGGGAAAAAAAAAAACAATTCTAATGTTTCTTGCTACTTGTGACTTAGAAAATGAGAACAAGATACTTTGATGAGCAAAAGATATAGAAATAAACCAATCTCTGCAGACTCCTTTCTCTTGTTTTATTTTCCATATTTGGAAAGTCTGTATGAAATATGTATGAAATAGGTTGTCTGATGGGGGTGTTCTTCCTGATTGCATTGCAGATCCTGGATTTTGGGTTGGCAAGGCACACGGACAGTGAGATGACAGGTTACGTGGTTACGAGGTGGTACAGAGCCCCAGAGGTCATACTCAACTGGATGCATTACACACAAACAGGTCAGCAGCTTTCCAGAAAGGGCTTAACAGAGCTGCCTGCATCAGGCCAGATTTAGCCACGTCTTGTTTTCTGAAGTGAATAAGGAACTGGAGGGGGAAATAATAATAATATAATTATGAAATAGTTCCTTGTAGATAAATTGCAGGTAGTAATTTGGGTGTTATTTTGTTAGGGGGTTATTTTGTATATTGTGTGAGGCTAGCAGAAAATCCCAAGGTTATTGGAAAAAAAACCCTGTAGATGGACCCAGATGTAGCAGCCTGGTCTACATGCCAGTGCCTGTAATCTCTGCAAGATGTGCAGACTGTAACTCAAACTGACAGGGATAAATGTTAGGAAGAGAGGATTCCAGTAATCCCATGGAAGTTGTGAAAGCACAGAAAAATGAGTTCCTACATACACCTGCTTGTTAGTGGGAAACTGATTCTGTGCAATATTAAATGATCCTTTCTTTGCTAATTAAAAAAACAGTTTTATGTATCCTGCTTATCATACTCTGCAAAGCACACATTTATTTTATAAAAGGTTATAAATGTAAACATTACTCTGCTTTCAAACATATTTCAAATTAAACTTCAGCTGTTTTTAAATGGGCCAATATTCAGCAGTTTAATGTTGCTGTGCTTTTCTTGTCAGTTGACATCTGGTCTGCGGGCTGCATAATGGCTGAGATGATAACTGGGAGGCCTCTGTTCAAAGGAAACGATCGTATCCTTCCTCGGTGAATTATGGCACTAAGATAAGGAAATGATGAAAGGTGCTTGTGCAGTGTAGTAAGTGTGTTCAGAAACTGCTGAAAATAACAGTCAAATGACTCTCACCTTTTTAATTTGTGCGTTCTTTAATATCGTACTGAGTTGCACATCTGCAAATTAAAATTGGACATTTTTACTGGGCATTTTTACTAGAGAGACGTGACCTCTGAATCATGTCTTGAATTGAGTGGTTCAGTGTTCAAAGAAAAGGCTTTTTTTCCTCTTTTTTTCCCTCTTTGCTTTTTAAATACCAGGTTCCCAAACTCCAGAACATGGGACATGTGCAGAGAAGTCTGGTGCAGTATGCGGACATCTGTGCACATGAGGGTCCATTTCATGTTTTTTGAGACTTTCACCAAAAATTGTTATGATCTAATAAGATGTTTTAGATATACGGAAAACCCTGCAGTATCATTTCCTTGCTGAGGAATTAGGAAAATAGTTAAGATCAAGCCAAACTTAAATATGTAAATGACACTTCATTGGTGAGAGTTGTGATAGTTACCCAGTATTAATAGGGGACAACAAGAATATTTTTTACTTTGTTGTCATTGTTGATATGTCTTGCCTGTTTGACAGCTCAGCCTAATCATTTTGGACTGCTTTTCCCCTTGTGGAGCTTCAGTCAACAAAGAGCTGACCCTGTGAGTCCTTGTTTAATTTTTTTGTAAATATGCTCTATATTTAAGTACCTTCTTGTAAGGCTAGGACTTCATTGCGTGGATCTTACTATTCTGTCTGTGAAAAAAAAAAACATAATAAAAGAAAATTGTATTTACAAATAAAATGACAAGGATATGGAAAAGGAGAATCCATCAGATTATTTTGGCTGTACAGATTTTAAGTATGTGTCACTTTTTAACAAGAAAATAGTAAAATACATGATAAAGGACAACAGTTGACTAACAAATATCATTTCTCAACTAATGCTAACCCTGAAAATTCTGGTGCATAAGTAAGAAATTAATGAGTCATAATTTCCAAGTTGCACTGTAAATGGAGAATATAAAAGCTAGTATTTAGTTGTTCTGCATTTAGGATTTTCAGAATTATCGTTAAAATTCTATGTCCAGTGTTATAAATGTAGCTGACCCTGCTGGCCCTCAGGTGATATATGGCTCAGTTTTACAGGTCTTCACGGCAATGCAGCTATGAATTCAGATGCGAGCAGATGAGGAAAAAATGGAAAAAATGTTTTTTCCTTTTTTTAATTTATTTTATTACGCTTTATGAATAGGTTATCCTGCAACCTCCGGATGAGATTTTTTGTCTATTTGTTTGGAGAGCATTGCCCACCACTGAGAGGCAAGGCTCTTCTTTGCAGCATTAGTCCTCCTGTAAATGTGGTTGTTGCCAATGTTGTTGCTGATCAATCTCTATTGCTTTGGGACACAGAAGATGAGGCTGTTCTGGGGCCTTATCCCAGTTAATGCTTTCAGCATCTCAGCATGAGGAATCAAGCAATGCAGGTGGGGAATAAGGAGGAAGAAGTTGCTCAGTGTGATAAAGAATTAACAAAGACTGGTTTCCTCTCATTTTTTGTTATGCAACTTATAGACACTTAGTAACTTTTGGACCAGTTTTGACCAAAAATATCAGAGGGGCTGGATAACATTAGAGGAGTTTGGTGAAAGAGTTTGTTCCTTATTCCTGGTATTCAGATCTGGACCAACTCACCGAAATAATGAAAATAACAGGCACACCAACTCAAGATTTTGTTCAAAAACTGCAGAGTCAAGATGTGAGTATTCTGCTTTATCAGTTTGTTTTACGAGTCTTAATTTTACTTAAACCTTGATCAGCTCTGATCACTGGCTGAAATAACATGTATTGAAGTGACCACTGATAGTGCATATCCACCTTGAAGTGCTTTGGGCACGCAGAATATCTACAGGAGATTAAAGGGAGCTAGAAAATGATTTGAACACCTGAAAAATCTATAAATTTCAATACTTTAAATTTCCCAGAGTGCAGCATATAAGGAGCTAGGCTGATGTATTACTACGTTTATTGGAATTACAGTAAAAATATGAGCCTATTTAGGTTCATGTGTCAGATGTCTCTGACTTCATCCTTCCTATTCCTGTGTGGATGTCTGTCTGAAGTCCTTAAACCCTATAAACTCTATAAGGGGTATAAACCCTATAAACACCTAAAATTAATCATTAGACTAACTATACTATATACATTACTTTAAAAGATAGACTTCTGAAGATTACTGTAATCATAAGTATGGCTTTTATTCTTTCAAATGATGCCTACATACTTATTTTGATTAATATATTAAATATTAAGCACTAATAGTTTAATTTTTAATATAATTTCTGAATCTTAATCTTAAGTCTTGATTTCAAATATTCTCAGCAAGAATTTGTGCATAATCAAAAAGAAAAGAAGAACAAATCCATTTGTACAGTACAATATCAAAGTATCATTAGAAGTTGTCTATTAAGCATAAAGTGCACATTGTCACAAAGTCAAATTTCTAACTCAAAATTCTTGTTTCTTTTTAAGGCAAAAAACTATATCAAAAGCCTCCCAAAAGTCCAGAAAAAAGATTTTGCATCGATCTTGAAGTACGCGAGTCCCTTGGGTGAGGAAGTTTGTGTACCATTGTGTGTAACCTGGGGTGTTCTTGTGCTTGCCTTGGGGGCAGCAGCAGTAACATCAGTCATGGGATAACCATGACAGTTACGTGATGCTTCTCATGCTGTTCTACCTCTTGCTTCCCATAATTCATAACGTTGATTTTAAGGGCTGAGTTTAGCCAAGTTATACCTGCCAGGAATCACATGTTTCTGAGAAGAGCTGAAAGGAAACCATGGGATATTCTTTTGTGTTTTAGGCTCTTATCCAGGCTATGCTAGATGCTTTTGCTGCATCTGCTTTCTCAAGAGTCCTGCGAAACAAAATATCTGTAATAAATTTTTCTATTTATTATATTTGAATACAATTCTGAAAGCTGATTCTAATTCATAATAGCAAATAGAAAGGTGACACTTCAGTGATGGAATGAATACTTTCTGAGAAACATCTGTGCATTCCTAAGAAGAACTGACTTGTATTGGATAGATTAAAAAAAAGCTACAAGAGCACAGCAAGTCTGCAGAGCTGTGACGTGACAGCCAGAGCTTTGGTCTGCCCAAACCTTACACATTCTCCAGCAATGTGAGCACTGAAAAAGCTAGGTTTTATTAAAGTATGAATTAGGATAACTGTTTTCTCTATTTAAGAAGGCCAGTTACAGTGAAAATCTACAGGATCGATAAACTTACATTAATAGGTCAATAATTCTTACCTGGCCGCTCAGTGAACTCACTGAGCTTTTGAGCTCCAGCAGACGGCACACATTCCCGTGCAGTGTTTGGAGGTTTCTCCACATGAGCTCTGAGCCTGCCCGGCTGCGCCGTTCACAGCGCAAGGGCTCGTGCTCTGGCCGAGAGGGCTGCGGAGGAACCGGGATGCGGCAGGAGAGAGTCAGGGCTCCCTGGTGCATGTTGCTGCCTCTCCCCTTTCAGAGCGTTTCTCCTGACTCAGGAACATTCCCACAGGAATATAATACAGGAAAAGGGAGAATTAACAAATCTTGTCTGCTTCTTCTAACCCCTTCAGATAGTCTCACATAGCACCTGATCCAGAATCCACTGAAGAGGAACCTAATTTTTTTGTTGTTGTTGTTGCTGAATAGCTGTAAACCTCTTGGAGAGGATGCTGGTGCTAGATGCAGATAAGAGAGTCACAGCAGCCGAGGCTTTGATGCATCCTTACTTTGAACCTATTCATGATCTGGAGGAAGAAATCGAAGCTGAGAAATACGACGACACGTTTGATAACATGGATCTTCCACTGGATGAATGGAAGCGTGAGTTCCGTTTTGTGGTGGTTTTAGAAAGGAACAGATAGAAAGTTCACCCAAATAACCCGTAAAGGAGTAAGTTGACAGCAGTAAGACTGAGAAACACTGTGATGCCCACTGTATTGCAGAGCCGCTGCTCCCTCCATCCCTCCTACATTGCTGCACTGGGCTTCTTCACGTCTGAAATGGTGTCTTAGCATAAAATGGTCCTAGATTGCTTTACTCTGTCCTCTTTCTACTTCTTTTGCTTGAAGAAGTCTCTCCCTTCCTCACCTAGATGAAAGCATGACCGTGCTGGGTTGCCCCTTGCTCAAGTCTATGCTCTTTTTCTCAAGATACCAGCAGCACTATTTTTCTTCTTTGTTTTGTTTTTTTTTTTTCCAGGTATTACATATAAAGAGATACTGAACTTCAAGCCACCACAAACGTCAGAGTCAAAGGAGACAGCGGTGTAATCGTGGGACTTGATCCTTTCAGAAAAACTGTAAATGTTTCTGATATTTCAGGTGTATAAAACTTTTATAGATAAACTGGATGTAATCTATTTCATCTGCAGTGTAAGAAAGCAATGTCTTTTACTCTGCTTGTGAAAGCTGATGCCATTGGGAATAGCATTTCAAACCCATCCAGAAATGTATTTCTGCCCACATCTCCCACACGAAGGAATTCAGACTGGGGTAGCACAGTGTCACCTTAAAAAGAGCAGGTAGAAGGAATTCCTCAAATCAGAGGTCAGAAGAGAGCATGTAACCACGCTGAACAAGCTGAGACAGAGACTGTGTATCAGTGATACACAGTGAGTACACGCTCAGGCCAGTGACCTGTCTTCAACGCTAGAAGTATCAGCTTGAACAGTCCTCTGGGCTGTTCTGCCTTGGCGAGGTGCCTGGAGAGGCTCAGGAGCTGCTTTTAACACAGCTAGCGTGGCAGTAGTGGAGATGATACACATTCATTCAGGCTGTATTTCCCTTGTCCAGCATGAGTGGAGGTCGAAGCTCCAACCAATTCTGTCAGATTTTGCAAGAGGCAAGAAGCAGAGAAGTGGCAGTGTCCCAGATTTTGCACGGTAACCAGTGTAGTAGGACAAGATTTCCCAAATGCATGAGGTAAACTGTCACTAGATAGTTTACTTTCAGGGGGTAGAGTATTTTAATCTGAATATAGTACAGTTTCTTTTAATAGACCAGGGGTCAAGGTTTTCCAGGGAGAAACTGTAAGGTTTTCTAAAATTTTGTAATTTTCTAGCATTTTAGTATTGAAACAATCACTGAGAAAGTGATTCACCTTCTCGGGGGCTGGGGATGCTGATCGAAGAATCAGCAGTGCTGACATTAGAAATAAAGTTGCATGCAGATCACTTTATAGAAAATGAGAGTAACAATACTACAGTGCAGCAAGTTGTTTTGTTCACAGTGTATAGAGGTGATGCCAGGTGCACAGTAATAACTGTTCCTTTTTTCAGCCTTTGGAAGTCATCTTAATTTCTAGGGAGAGCGGAGGGTGGTAAAGGGGGCACTTCAAGCTCAGCTGGAGCCCCAGGCTCCCTCTGGAGCTCCTGTGGGATAACTGCTGAGGCTCCTGGTAGGCCCCTCTTAGTGTCTGGATTCATCCCTTGCATTTTCCTAGATGCTTAGTTCGTAATAATCTCTCAGAGGAAAAAGAAGTTGTCAGAGCTGTGGGATGCAGGGTTTTTTTGTGGGGTTGCTTCTCCTTGTTAAATGTAAGCTCTTCAGCTCGTTGGCTTTGTGTGATTCCCACTGCAGTTTGCTGCTGTGTGTTGCTGCTGAGTCCTACAGCAATTCTGCAGGAACACATACAGTCTTAGCAGAAGAAAACTTCAAAATTCTGAAAAACAACTAAGAAATCACTTAAAATTTGCTTTAATAAGCATTTTAGAACACCAGTTTAATCGTTGCAGTTGATCTATTTGTCTTAATGTTTTAGTTAAACAACTGTAAATATCCATGTTGGCTTAAAAATTATTTTTGATGGTCACTGATTAGCTGAGACAGGCACTGAGAAAGGCTACATGGTCACAGAAACCTCGAACCCGTGGTGGGCTCGAGACGCCACTAGAAGCAATTGCTGCAGGAATTTTTTTTACAGAATGTGACTGGAAACAAACATTTTTTTCCATGCTACAGGTCACTGAGGAAAGCACACTGCAGGGTCACAGCCAGTTCTGCACCACTGGCTTTCTGCTTGGGCTACAGTTATGTTAAATAGGAAGTTTGGCTCTAGTTAATGAAGGTTTTCTCTTTTAGGATCATGCCCTGTAGTCCTCCTAAAATTCAAGGGAGAAAAGTGGCTTTTGGAGTTAGGAGCTTTTGACAGAGCCAGTCACGGAAGGTAAAAGAATATCAATATTACTTTGAAAATGTTTCCTTTGTACTTTACATGCAGTTTCAACAGCTTACGTCCCAGCAGATGCCTAAAGTCTTGAGATCCCAGAATGGTTGAGGTTGGCAGGGACCTCTAGAGATCTAGTCCAACCCCCTGCTCCAGCAGGGACACCTAGAGCACGTGGCACAGGGTGGCATCCAGGCGGGTTTGGAAGATCTCCAGAGGAGGAGACTCCACAACCTCTCTGGGCAGCCTGTTCCAGGGCTCTGTCACCCTCACAGGAAAGAAGTTCTTCCTCATATGGAGATGGAATCTCCTGTGTTTCACTTTTGTTCAAAAACTAGTTAGATTCAGATCATTTTGTTCATTAAAAAGTTATTTATAGATTTTTTTAAATTCCAACACTTTATTGGGCTTTTTAACTGTTTTTGCCCCTCTAGCTTTAGTGAAATCAAGTCCTGTAAAACTCCATTGGGTGACATGGACTTCTGCCTCTCTAGGCTGTGACTTAGAATTGTAGAAAGAGCTAGTCCATGAGAGACAGAAGAAAAAAAAATATTATTTTTCCTAGATACTTGGGGAATACAAAACTCTTAAAATAACGGAAGAGAAGACCTTGCTGTGTGTGCTAGCCAAGGCAGAAGAAGTAAATTACTGCCATGCTGGTTTCTCAGTAAAAAAGTTTGAAAGGTAAAATAACAAACACTGAATCTTCAATCTTAGCATGATGTTTCTGCAAAGAGATTAAAATACAAAAGAAAATCTGTTCGAAACAGCATTAGAGAATATTAGTATAAATAGCTCATTAAACAAAATGTGGGAAAAACAGAATTATTTTGCATGGGAAGCAGCTGCTGCTTCAAAGGGAGAAGTTTTTATTTGCTATTTCTACTGGTGCTAAGCAACTCAGGAATAAGAACCCAATTTCTGTTTGCCTTAAGGAGAAATGTAAATATGTTCTGCATGTACTTGAAATGTATTGTGAAAAATAAATGTGTTTTGGGTTTCTTTTTTTTCATAAAAATGGTCTTATTTTTGCCCTATGAATCCCAAATGTATAATCATTCCTGAAAATACTATTTTCAGTATAAAGACGCAGTATGGAACCTAATATTTTAGGTACATTTCATGTAATATGAGCTGCTGACTTAGTTTATTTCAGCAATCAGTCAGACCACAAATCCCATTCCAAAACTGCAAGCCAGCCTCAGAAGCGACTTGCCCGTCCTGTGGCCATCTTAGAGCATCTTTGCTTTTACCAGACACCTCTGCTTTGTTCTGAAGAACGTTTCAATACTTGCACACACATTCCCCAGCATGATTTTAAGAGCTAGAGACCCTTAGCAGCCCCTCTCACATCTCAACCCCTGAGCTGGAAGGGGAAGCCAGAGGTAGCAGAGCTCTAGCAGCACATGTGGGACCTAGCCCGGAAAATACACACGTTTCCTAGAGCAGAAGTTGTCCCACTAAATATTCCAGTGTTGAAGAGTTGTCATTCACGTTACATTTTGAAAATGGTGAGAAATTTCTGAAACTGACCTGTTTCGGCTCACAGTTGGATTTATTGATCATTTTCTCTTTTATTATTGGATACCTCTGAGGTGACTGTCTCCATGGCGCATGCCTATGTAGGTCTTGCAAAATATATGTAGAAGATGCCCTTTATTTCAGAGGTAATAAACACATGAGCCGGGTGGGGTGCTTTGAGCTTCCTGCTTTCTGATCAGCTGTTCAGACACCAACAGCAGACGTTCCTGTCCTGCTCCAGCTAAGGTTGTCAAGGTCCTGTTGTGTCGGAGCCCGCATAGGGTGTCACCATTCACTGGGTGTTGGCATAAAATACCCCCATGAAGCTGCCGTGAGGCTACTGCTTGTTTAAAGCCCATCTGAAGTAAGAAGTCAGTTTTTAATTGCTTGAGTTCTGAATAGCACTACTAGGAGAACAAGGACAGAAAGGGTGGTTTGGGGGCTCATTTTCTGAGAAAGGTTTTTGTTTAGCAAGTGACAGGGAAAGAATAGAGGCTTGTAACACCTGCTGCCTCTGCTCATTAGTTCTCCATCTCCTGGGCACACTGTAAGGTGCCTGGTTGTGTAGTCAAATATTATCAGGAACTATTCTAGGGGCTACCGCACTTAAAACCTGTCCATAAGTATTTTTAAGAATTAAGAAACATGGGTTTGAGAAAAAAAAAACAGCAACAAAATGATCTGAAAGCTAAAGTGCCATTTAGCAACCACACGCAGCTCTCGTGCATGGGAGTGATTGCATGAAATTTAGCTATCAAAATGCATGGAAGCAAATGGGGACAAGTATGTAAAGGATTCATTATTTTATTGAAGTATTTTAAATCCACTTTTTTGTGAGAGTCAGCAATGAAACAATTAAATGTTTAGCGAAAGAAATTAGTCAGATTCTGTTTGAAATTTTTCCATTTTTTTGCTATGGAACAGTTTTTTGGAGGTAAATAGGCTTGTGTGGAGCAGGAAATGTCGCACAGGATTTGGATGGGGTCTCAAATCCTGAGACTCAGAGTTCAGTGAGATTCATGATTTTAATATAATAACAAGCAAAGATGGCCACCGAATCCAATTCAGATAGTAATGAGAAACGCGCTGATTATTAAAACAGTGAAATCATACTGCTCCAAAGATCGTGTGCATTTAAATCTACCTGGAGGGCAGGGCCAAGGTAGCTTTTTTGTGGTATTTCAAAAGCCCCCTTTGTTTGTGTCTGTCAGAGTTACTGTCTCTGAATGGTGCTACTCAGCATGTGTTTAGACATTCTGCTGCTCCTAGGAATCTCATTATGTTTTTGGTATTGATTCAGGTTTTAATTTTTTATATATATAAAGACAGTAGTGTGTAACTGTAGAGAGAGAAAATATGTCTTGAGAAGTAACACCAAAAAAATATTAACTAAGGCTTTCCCTTAAGCAAATGAAAATGGCCACTCGGCAATAATTTAAACAATGCCTGAAGTAACCAAATATTTTCAGTTACAATTTTAACTCTTAGAGAATGCCAAGGAGCACTGGTTAAGGCACAACATTCATGGTGTATAAATGTTCAGTAAAAAAAGGCATGGCTGCTGAGTGTCTGCTGCTCCTAAAGTAGGGCACCTCCTTAGGAA